ACTGTGGCATGCATCAAGAAGGATTGCATAAAATTGTGTTTCCCCAAATTAATCTATGGGAGAGGGTTCTGCTGAGCTATGCTGCTTTACATTATTGGAGATCTAACCTAACAATCCTCCACTACCATGCGTTAATTTTGAGGAGAGATGATTAAATCTACAGGTCTTGCATGAACATGTTGGTAGAGTATCTGGGTAGTAGTCCAGTGGGATCTTATATTTAGAGCCAGTCAAATGTCTTTGTTAACAATGAAATTATTGACCTATCTTCCACTGATATGCAGGGAGGGCAAAAGGCTGTAAGGAGCAAGTTTACCACTAATGGCTCCCCATCTGAGAAACATGCTTTGTTTGCCAAATTTGCCATATAAGATGTAGGGAACTTGTGCTGTTGGCAGTGCAGAACAGTGGGCAGAGATGAGGGTAGTACTTATATTTCACCATGTCTGGTAGCAACTGAACAATCCCGAATCTCTTCTTGGTATGAATTAGAAGCAGCTCTCTTGAAATCAGGGAAGCTTTTCTAGGCAAACGACTATTCACCAAAGCTCCTCGGGGGGGAAAACGAGGAGCAATGGTCATAAACTCCTAGAAGAAGGTTTCAGACTGGATATAAGGAAAAACTTCTTGACAGTTTGTGTACCCAGACTCCCTGCAGGGGTGGTGGAGGCACTTACCCTGGAGATCTTCAAAAGCACACCTTGGATGCACACCTTGTTGAGGTTATTTGACCCCAGCTGTCTTTCCTGCCCAGAGCAGGGGGGCTGGACCCAGCCCTAAACTTCTGTGACTCTGTGGTATAAATGAGAGAAGGATCAGGTTATTTATTTTCTTTAAGCAAAGCATAGATTCAGTTAGGAACAGTGGCTGTGGAAAGAGTCACAACTATTTGGGAAAAGGTGGAGAGCTTAAATATGCCAATACTTTACATCATAAAAGTAGCAGGAGTAAATATCAAAATCCCTCCTAGCCACACACAAACAGAAACGGGCTTCTGAATTTGCCCTCAGATATATCCCTTTCCAAAGTCCTGAGTGTTTTAGGCAGATCCATCACTTGGCAGCACTTCTCTCACTTGTCCTGTGGAGAACACTATGATAGCATTTGCAGCAATCTTGCGAGTGCCATACGGCTGAGTTTCTATGAGCAGAGGTGTTACACTAGAGTGACGCTTACACGATACCAGCATCCAGCCTCTTTTTCACCCTGCAGTATATATCAAGTATCTAATCAAAACGATCCTTCCCAAATGTTACCTGCAGGAATATAGATATTGCAGTCCAACTATGCAGAATTTATTACCACTTGGCTCATATTTTGCTCTCATAAAATTCTGTCAGAAACTTCTGTCAGTTTAACAATTTCTGGAAAGGAAGCAGAGTGACTTTCTCTTAGGGGAACAGGTAGGTCTCATTATGTGCAAGTCATTTCCAACAGAAGCTAGAATGAGTGAGAAAGGGAGGCTGGCCCTAGCGACACACTAGTAATTCATTCTCCTGAAAATATTTTCTGTTGTAAAGGGGCAACGTGGAACGGCTTGACATCTGGGATGGACAGCAGTGCACCGTCTTTTAAATCTGTATTGGTGTGTGTAACAGGGAACCAGGGGCCTGCCTGATGCTTGAAGGGAGAAGCAGCAGCCAGGAGATTACCCAGGTGGGGAGCCTGCTTTTTATGAGTTACAGAATAACAGCCTACCAGGGTTGTATAGGCTGGGAGGGACTATTTCAGAGCTAGCTGCTCTGCAGTAGTATACTCGGGCAGAGGTTGCTCGGGTAGTGGAGTGCCTGTTGCAGAGCTAGCTGCTCTACAGTAGTACCTTGCCTGGTTTACATTGGGGCATGGCTGTAGCTCCTATCTCAGCAGTTGTAAACTGCTCTGGAGGCCAGCCAGCTAGCCTAATTACAAGCACCTGGGGAGGCTGAGAACCACATGACCAGAAGGGGCAGAGTTTAGGCAGTATATAAGCCCAGGGCTTGAACCTTTGGGGCAGTCTGGCCCTACAGGCTGCCGGGAAGGAGCTCTACACTGAGAGGACTATAGCTGAGAGACTTACTAATATCTGCCTGCAATGCGGGCTGCAAGTAAGGAACTAAAGGCTTGCAGGAAAGAGTTTGTTACACCCTCCATTGGCTTACAGTTTGTGTTGTAGCCAGTGTGCTTATGTTTTCATTATAGTTGGGACTATCAGGAGAGGTTGGGGTTCATTGGTGCCTGTTGGGCACATGGCTGTGATGAGCCCAGTCAGGGGCCAAAGGGGTGAAGCCTAAGCTTGAGAAATTCACAGCAAGTGGAAGCTGGATGCTGGACTCCTGGCCCTGTCTAAGAGGGGTGGAAATGGGGCCAAGACTCCTCAGCCCTAGAAGGGTGAGACTACAGCTTTGTGGGGGGGGGGGGGGGTAGACAACAGCCTGGAGGGATGCAACTATAGCCTTAGAGGGGGCAGAGCCAGGGCTAGAGGCCCACAGCCCTTGAGAGGCAAAGCCATAGCCTTGGAGGGGTGGGATTGGGGCCAGAGGCCCAGAGCCCTAGTGTGAGATCTTGATCTTCTATAGGGAAAGGCACTTCTGAAGTGGTTAACTGTTAACACCTGTGAGTCATGGGCAGAGCTGGAGGCCATGAAATTGGCCCCTAATGCCAATGGTATGATAGGGTGACAAGCCAGGAAGGCTCACCTGATGCCTGAGGCCAGGACGAGGATCAGCTGGGTCTAAAGGAACCCACAGATGAGCAGTAGACGAAGGCTTCCTTGGATCCTGGGGGCAGCCCAGAGGCACCAATTCTTAAGATGATGGACCTGTGAAAAGTTTTATGTATTTCAGGTGACAGCCCTCTTTCCAAAGGGGACCAGGGCCCTTAGGCCCCCACCTACTCGGCTCCTCTGGGGCAGCCTCCCTTTCCCCAAATAACATAATAATAGCATGTGGTGGCAGGTGAGAGAGAGAGAAAAGGGGAGGGTAGGTGGAGAGCCACAGCTGGGCAGGAGTTGAGGCCACCAGCAGGCAGCATGGCCACCCCTGGGACTTGGTCCTGCTACAGCGTGACACAAAAAGAACTGAGAGGCTTGTCAGTGTTGGGACACTTGGCATATATTTTATTTAGATTGCAATAAGCACTACCTTGCTGTATTAAAAGTTAGTATCTGTTCTGAGCAGTTGCATGATAGCTGATTAGCTGATTGTCAGTCCCAGCCCATGCACTGCACCAAAGTCTTGAACTTGTAGTAGCTCCATGGAGTAGTTTGAAAATAACAGAACACATGCAATTTAATACAATCTGGAGATACTCATCCCATGAAAAGTCATAACTGTGCTACCATATGGTTGTACTTGGTCCATGTTTTACTGCTTGAACACATGGATGCTCATGTTTATATGCAGTTAACATGTCCTAAGTGTAATGTGTGACATGGTTCAGAGTTTGCTCTCAACTCCTCAACAGTTTTGCCTCTATCCTTGGAAGAGTCTTTGAAAAGATTATTAAGGATCATATTTTGAGTCCAGCGGGAAAAATAATGCAGCAGAGCAACTAGCGTGGATTCGTAGCAGGTAGATCATGCCTGACTTAATCTGGTTTCATTTTATGACCAGGTCACAAAACGCTTAGATGCAGGAGTATAAAGGGATGTCGTTTTCTTGGATTTTAGGAAGGCCTTCGATACGGTATCTCATCCCATTCTCATAAATAAAGGAGCTGTGACTTAGATGTTTACACAGCCTGGTGGGTGGCAAATTAGCTTGGGGGCTGCACTCAGAGTGGTAGTAGACAGGTCTGCATTGACCTGGAAGGATGTGGGTAGTGGGGTCCTGCAGGACTCTGTCCTGGGACCTGTACTCTTCAATGTTTTCATCAGTGACTTGGATGTGGGTGTGAAGTGTACTCTGTCCATGTTTGCAGATGATACTAAATTGTGGGGTGACATGAACACGCCAGAGGGTAGGGAACAATTGCAGGCAGACGTGGACAGATTAGAAAAGTGGACAATACACAGTAAGATGCAGTACAACAAGGACAAATGCACAGTGCTGCACCTAGGGCATAAAAATATCCAGCATACCTACTGGCTAGAAAATGACCCTCTCAGCAGCACAGAAGCAGAAAGGGATCTTGGAGTCATAGCAGACTCCAAGATGAACATGAATTGTCAGCGTGACGAAATCATCAGCAAAGCTAACTGCACTTTATCATGCATCAGCAGATGTATGACAAATAGATCCAAGGAGGTGGTACTTCCCCTCTATGCAGCATTGGTCAGACTGCAGTTGGAGTACTGTGTCCAGTTTTGGGTGCCGTACTTCAAGAAGGATGTGGATAGCCTCAAGAAGGTCCAGAGAAGGGCCACTTGTATGGTTAAGGGTTGACAGGACAAGCCCTATGAGGAGAGACTGAGGGACCTGGACCTCTTCAGCCTCTGCAAGAGAAGGCCGAGAGGTGATCTTGTGGCTGCCTACAAATTCAGTACGGGAATGCAGCAAGGGATCGGAGATGCTCTGTTCACCAGGGCACCTCTTGGGGTAACAAGGAGCAATGGTCACAAACTGACAGTGAGCAGATTTAGGCTAGATATCAGGGAAAACTTCTTCACGGTAAGGGTGGCCAAAGTTTGGAGTGGACTTCCAAGGGAGGTGGTGATTTCCCCTACCTTGGGGGTCTTTAAGAGAAGGCTGGATAGGCATCTGACTGGGGTCATCTGACCCCAGTACTCTTTCCTGGCCAGGCAGGGGGTTGGACTCGGTGATCTGTTGAGGTCCCTTCTGACCCTAGCATCTGTGAATCTATAATGATTAACCTCACAAAACTTAATTTGAGCACAGCAAGCAATCCTTCCTTCCCTCACCCAGAAGAGTTGTGATATTTAATGTTGAGCACTCACTATGTATTATTGCTGTGGGCATTGTTTTTCCAAAGTTTCAATATACCTAAAGTAATTATGCAATATTAGAAATGTATTTCTGACTGCATTTTTCTGTTCTTTCCCTGCCTTTCCCTCCCCCCCCCAGTGAAAATACCATCTTTTGAATACTTATCAAGAAGGTGTGCACATAACTTGTGGAAACGTGTTGAACTGTACACAGTGGCTGGGTCCAGATGAGTTGTGCCAATGCTACTCATCCCCAGGGAATGCCCCTGCATGTGCGTCTGGTGCATGGTAAGTTGCCCTGGGTGGGGTAGAGGAGGCTGGGACCAGCACCTGGGGTGGCCCCAGCAGCTGTACCTGGGGGCCTCCTGGGGCTCCAGTGGTGGCGATCTGGCAACGGGGAGCCCAGTTGGCAGCCAGAGTGTATCTGCAGCTCTCAGGCTCTGGTTTTGGGTGATGCACACTGCTGCCATGTGCACCACTCCATTTTTTTCAGGTGTGGGTTTTTTGGTTTGTTTGTTTTTTTTTCACACCTGGATCTCTCTCTGCACTGGAAATGAACAGCATAGGAAATGCCTGCATGTGGAACACGTGTGGTGCACAGCACCACAGACAGGTCTGCAGTGCCACATACTGCAGGTGCAAACTCATCTGGAGCCACCCACTGTGGATATATTTTCCCTTAAAAATATATGGAACATAAGCCACTACTGATCATTTTTTGGATGCAATGTATTGTTTGCATGTCTGTTATAGGACACTTCCAAATCATATTTATAAATTATTCTATTGCAAATATTAATCTTTATATTTTAAAAATTAATTTTACGATCTGAATGGATTCCATTGGTAATGAGCCCAGTGTTGTCTTGGTTCCTGCGAAGCATCATGGACATGTGCTGAGCAAGAAGTAGTTTCTTCTTACAGGAAGCTAAGCTAAGTGTCTTAAATCGTAAATTGGCTTCTCAGCTATAATGGGGACAGCGATATCTCCCACGTCATGGAGGCTTTGTGAGCCACATGGATATAACGGTGATGGCAGCCAGGGGGAAGACAGAAAAAAGATGCTTCCACTTCTCTCTTTCAAAGAGCATCTGACTATCTTTCAATGGTGCTTTCACCATTGTGAGTAGCAGTTGTCACATGGCTTGTTCTTTCTTTCATCTGATGAGTTTTAGCTTCTAAAGGAGCATCATGGCTGTACTCTTTACTCTCCTGGCTGATTATAAAACAAATTCTCTTTCAAAGTTTCTAACGGTCCCAGTTAGGCTGCCATATCCTTCACTGGTGCGTGTTTTTCCCTGTACACAGCAGAACCACAAGAAAGAACAGAATAAATCTCCTGATAGAGGACACCGCATAGCACCTTGTGTTTAATAGGCTGCATTTGAGGTGAACATAAAATGGTAGCTGTTACAGCAGATAATACCTACATGTGTAAAGTTGTAGTACTCAAAGCAAACAGTCACATACACTGAGCCTGTCCACTATAATTCAATAAACCTTGGCTTGTGTGTGGTCAGCATTTTGATTGTGATCAAATGTTTCCACCAAGTAAGACACCTGAGAGGTGATATCCCCCCTGGTTCCTCATTTGGCTAAATAATATTCCCGATAAAGTTAGGGATTAAAGAGGAAACTCAGAAAATATGAGCGAGAGGGAACTCTGGAAGCTGCAGCTTAACGCTGATACGCTGATGCCACCTCACTGCAGCCTTGCAGGTATACAAATGGCAACAAATACAATAATATGACAGTCATCCTTCCTTCCCAGTGGGGCTGTGCGAAGCTTTGGGCGCTGATTCGATTCGGAGGAGATTCAGCCTGATTCGGTGGCCGAATCTCAGAATCTGAATCGAATCGGGGGACCAATTAAAAGGTCTGAATTGATTTGAAACTATCTGAATTGATTCAGAAATTCAGGCAGTCCCCGCTGGCTGCAGTAGGGAGCTGGACCTGGACTCCATGCTGATAAGTAGGGGGCTGAGGAGGGGGGAGGGGACCATGGGGGGGACCCCTGCCAGGCCTCATTCCCTGCCTGCTCCCCCAGCCCCCCTGAGTGGGGGCCAATCCCCACTGCCCCATGCCACATGGGGGGCTCTGCCATGAGCCTCCCAACCCTGGCCTGCTTTCCCAACCCACCCCATGGCTGTCCTGCCCGCCCCAGCTCCTGGCCCTTTAAAAACAAACAAAAAAGCCCCCAACTCACCGGCTGCTGCAACATGGGGCAGTGGGTATCACCCCCCACCTGGCAGGAACTGGTGAGGCAGAGCTTTTTTTTTCCCCAAAGAGCCGGGAGCTTGGAGAGCAGACGGGGATGGGCCCTGTACGATTCTTAGATGCAGCCGATTTGGCAGCAGCCGAATCTCTGAATCAGATAGGGCCCGAATCGATTTGGGACAGCGATTCGAATGACCGAATTGAATCCCTGTCCCCTGAATCGGCCGAATCTGAAACAAATACTAGCCACTTCGCACAGGCCTACTACCCAGCTGGGGCTACCTATTTCTACTTCCTGCCATGTTTTAATTACAAAGTATCCATTCAAGTCCAGGGAAGAGGAGCCAACCCCTTGTGCCTGGGATTGAATTGATGGACATAGCAATCATTCCTGGCTGAAACAGTTTTACCAGTTCAGAATCTAAGCAGATCAGACTTTAATGCTTGCCATGGTCTTTTTAATACTCAAAAATAGGCTTTTGTAGGATAAAATGATTGCCTTTGCATTCTGCACTTCTCTTGCTTGGCCCTAAGTAACTAACATTCCTGTGGATTATGAAAAGAGAAACCATGCTTTTGTTTTTCCCCAGTACAAATGTGAAAGTCTCTCTCTACTGTTTTTATTCCTTTTAATTTCATTGACCATGACTGAGCAATGAGGTTGATGCCTTCAACTTAGTAGGAGACCCTGGGAGTCCAACTCTTTTTGGTTTGTTTTGCAAAGGAAGGATTGTAATGAATGGCTTGTTTTGCTTACCATGCTTGATTATCAATACTACTTTATATTCTGACAGAATATGAATTTTACTTAATGCAAAAAATGTTATTTTCTCAAGGCTGATTTTTTTTGACTAGCACATCACTTTTCTGCTGTTTTTAGGCCCTTCTGAACTTGTTCAGCAGTTCAGGGTTTGTGTCTGCAGAAATGTCACCTCCAAAAGCAAACAAAACCCAAGGAAGCCCCTCCTCCCTCAAATCTTGATCTTAAAAGATGTAGTTTGGGGTAGTTTTTCCTTTGTTGGACCCCTAGTGGTGCAGTCTAGTTGCATTTTCTGAAACTATAAGGTCTAGAAACAAACTTTTTTTTTTTTAGTGAAAGCTAAAATATTTGTGAGGTCATGTAACTGCAAGGGTTGGGGCTTTACATAAAGAGTAGAAGACTGACAGTAAAAACACACGAGTTTGGCATCACTGTGCATTTCTAAATAACCCTGGAAGAAATAAATGATGGTTGATAAAGGGTATGTGGACAAGACTCCTTTCAAGGTAGATGCTTTACTTTAGAAACAGCAAACTGAACCGTAGCAGACTGACTTCTGCCAGTCTTGCTGTTGGTGAGTGCTCCCTTGTGTTGTGGATAGTTTCTTTTGTTTTTTCTTCTGACTCTTGAGGAGATGGGCTGCTTTTCGTCAGGTGAGTGGCAACCTGGAGTTGGAACTCAAGAGTCCCATGCTCTGACCATAAACAGCACTGCCAATCGTCAAAGACAGCAGATGCTGCAAGTGCCAGAGCTTCAAGCACATGGTTAAAAATTGGAAGCCTCCAGTCTTAAATACTTTGTGATGTGAAATGCAAAACAAGCTGTGTGAAGGCATATACAAGAGTAACAAAATGTGCGCCTGCATGAGAAAATGGATTTGAGGCGGCAGCTCATGTATAGTAGACATCAACGTACAAAGTGCGCACCTCCCATGTGAGAAACGAGAGGAAACCAAGCCCATCACACTACAGTTGTTTGATTTTTTTTCCCCCTCCCTTTCCAACCACAGAAGCTGTATGCACATTTTAATAATATTGTGGTATGAATAAGGACATCATTGTGCACAATCCTTTTGCTGACTCTAGTAATAAAGCATTCTGCCCTTTATTTATAGGACTGCCTCAAGGATCTGACAGGAGGAATTGAGTATGCTGCCAAGATATTAAATGAAATTCCCCAGAAAGACATTCAGTGCGCTAAAAGAGCCTCAAAGGCAGAAAAAGGAAGGAAATGGGCAAGGTAAGTCATACATAATGATCTCGGTTGGCGTCCATTGATCTGGTCCGGTATCCTTTGAGACTGGAATATCGATAAAAGTCTTTTAAAAGTCACTTGAATGATCTGGGTAGAGTTTGCACTCACAAACACCTAGTTCCTGCACAGCAGTTGGGCTAACTGTGAGAGTGCCGGGTTCCTTTGACCCAACTTAAATATCTGAAGGAACGGAAAGAAATTAAAAATCTTGGGATAA